AAAAGCCATGCAATTTTATGACGATGCACATATTGTATGACGATGCGCATTCGCGTTTTGACGCTTCTCCCGGTTGAAATAACTCTTTACGCTCTCGATGGTGTGAAAAATCGTGCACATGACTTGCTTTTTACACGCTTGAAAATCAAAGCATGATGTTCAAATTTTCAAACAGATTTCACCCCAGTCCAATTTGGATTTTTTTCCGTTGATTGTCAAACTTCGCGAATCTTTTGTCGCTCAATTCATTCACTCTCTCACTCACAAACGTCCCTGCCCTTTTCAATTGGAAGTACTTATTTTGTGTTGAAGTAAACCGTACACCGATCAAGCATCATGTCTACAAAATTTGCATGCTTTTCGTTTTGAGCCCACTTGCCCGGTGTTGCATATGGGGCCTTCCAGGGCCTTCAAACCACAAAGACTTTTCACAAAACGGTTACTACCTGGCTGGAGCTGTCCGCGCGATCACCTGCTGCGAGTAGCGTGTCACAGTGTGGATTTTTTAAAAAATAAAACAATTTTTGCGGTGCGTGATTAAGACAAAATGAATAGAATATCACAGACGGAAAAAGCGTACACGAGTATTGTCCTTTCGTTAAAAAAAGAAACACAAAAACACCAAAAACGCCACAAAATGAAAAAGAGGCCTATTTGTATGCTATTACTTGATGAAAACGCTTGAAAACTAACAAACGAACATGAGAATTTTCCTGCTTTAAGACCGTTATGACAACGGTTTAAAGCACGGGTTCTCGTTGGTGCTAACAGTAAGCTTAGAATATTCTACAGCATTATTTACATGGTGACTTAAAGAAGTTGCATGACTGGATACTATGAAAAGGATTTTACGCGTCGAACATTTTAAAACGATCGCACCAAATCAATTGTTTACGGTGGCAGCCCTACATTGAAAAATATCTTTTCACCTTTAAATGGTCTTAATTTTAGTTTTTTAGAAGTAAAAGAAAAATGCGATCTCTTTATAATGGGGAGGAGACAGACGAAAGATAAACTTGAAAAGCGTATGGAGAAGTTGAATAGAAAGAAGAGAAAGAGACAAGGAAGGAGATTTGTGTTGTATCTGAAAATGTTTAGTAGCCAGTGAGTTCAGCGAATGTGGAATCCAAATCATCGCAAATAGCTTTCGTCTTTTCCTTCTCGTTGAAGAGGTCGTCTGCAACAGTGAAGGATTAGAAGACATTAGTTAGTTTAGCTCACCACACGACACAAAAACACGTCACACAATAGACTGGCCAAGCTATTGCCTGCTGTCAGTTTGTTTGCGTTTTAATTATAGTAATTAAGGGTTACTCTAAGTATTCTAGTAGGCATGACACCGATGATAACACAACTGTAAATGGTGGTTAAAATTAACATAGATATTTGGACGAAACATAGACTAGATAAAGCGCACTTCGCATTAAAAAACGTCTCGACACATAGCTCCTTTAAACATTGCCCTTGGGCCCGACAGGGCCTATTATCAAGTCCTGTGATGTTAGCGGCCTCGCCGGCCCACTCACCCTCGAGCCTGTCGACCTCCTTCTGGAGCTTCTTGACGGTCTTCTCAGCGAACTCGGCGCGGGCCTCAGCCTGCGAGGAGGAACGAACGTAATTGCATGAAAATGGAAACATAATAATCGTGTTTGGTGACAGAGGTCGGCGAGGGCCGCGTCTGTGGTCGCACCTCCTTCAGCCTGACGGTGAGGGTCTTGATCTGGCGCTTGTACTCCTCCACTCGCTGGTTGGCCTTCTCCTCGGAAACCTCCAGGGACTTCAAGCTGTTACCGACGACCTTCAACTCCTCCTCGAGCTCCATGATCTTGCTGCAAAACCGAGAGCCGTGTTTGAGTTTGCGCGCAGGGTGGACGGGTCCGAGGACGGGTCCGACGGATCGGTCCGAGCGACGACCGGGGAATACTCACGCGTCACCAGACTTGACACGGTCCTCAGCGACTTCCAGCTCGTCTTCAACGAAGGCCAGCTTGCGGGAGACCTGGGGGCAGAGAGGACGGCATTGGTGAGGACGGTCGGGTCGGTCAGCGCCTCATCGGCCACACGTGCGTGTGCAGTGCATGGTGTTCATCCTCCAGCGTTACGTCACCTCGTCGGACTTGCCGTCGGCGTCCTCAGCGAGCAGCCTAGCCTCCTTGAGCTGGTTGGTGAGCTGGTCCATGCGCTCCTCGTCCTGCTGGCTGCGGTTCTCCAACACCTTGCACATACTGAGGACGGAGCGCGTTAGTCCTGACTGTCTCCGGCGGGCCTACCTCACGTCTGCTCGTCACTCTGCTCACCGGTTGGCCTCGTCGGCGGCCTGGGAAGCCTCGGCGAGCTTGGTGGTGGCGGTGCCGGACCTCTCCTCAGAGCGCTCGAGGTCCTCCTCAATCATCTGGACCTTCCTGTTGAGGGCGGCGACCTCGCTCTCGGCCTGGGCGGAGAAGAGAATCAATCGATGAGGGGAGGGGAAGGGTTGGGGGTAGTTACATGACGGGGGCGGATGGGTGCTCACGTTGGTGAGGTTCTTCTCCTTCTCCTCGAGGTCCTTGTTGGCCTGTTCGAGCATGTTCTTGGTGGTGGAGAGATCCTGCTCAACCTGGGACAGCTTCTTCGTGAGGTCGCGGACGTCCTCAAGGACCTGTGCAGACACGAGGACAGTTTTGTGTAAGAGGCGGCAACGTTCGTCTCGCCCGGCTGGCTCGCGAGTGGAGTCTGTCTCGAACCCTCCCTTACCTTGTCCGCGCGGGAGTTGGCGTCCTTGGCCTGCCCCTCGCAGGTGTCGGCCTTGTCCATGGCCGCATCCTTCTCCATCTTCATCGCCTGCATCTTCTTCTTGATCGCGTCCATTGTGGCTGTGTTTCGGGGGGCGGGGGGCTCTACTGGCGAAAAGATCCGTCACCTGAAGAAAGAAATCATGCGTGTCAGTTTTTATTTTTCTTAAAACATTTCGGACACCTTATTGAATCCACTCATCCATCATTTATCCATCAATCATTCATCATTTATCCATCAACCATTCATCATTCATCCATACTACGCCCAACGCCTCAAGCCCCCTTCCCCCACCCCTTCTCTCCCTCTCTCCATCTCTCTCCCACCGCCGGGTATCTCCAAAATAACCGACTTGTTCTCAAAGAGCCCCCAACGTCACGGGCCCGCCCGGGCGGACGGGAACCTGGCTCCCACACGCTCCAGTTTACAAGTCAAACTATTTTTAACCACCGCGGCGGGCCGGGCGCCACCCCGCCCAGTCGCGCGCGCCGTTGGTGTGGCGTGGCGTGGCGGCGAGGCAGGTCGCGGGGGACGTGGATGTGCGGCTAGTCAGCTGCGGGGCGGGGATATTAGGGGCTTCAGTCAGGCGGTGGTCGCCCGGGCAGGGTTCGATCTCGATCCCTCTCCAAATCTCGTTTGATCCCTCACGTCGTCCCCGTACACAACGCGGGGCCCCGCCTCCGCGTCCTGTGGCTGCACGGTGGCCCAGAAGGTCCCCTGCCCCCCTCCCCCACCGTATCCCCATTGCATCGCGCCCTTCCTATAAATTGTTAAAATGAGAAGCATAAGCGTGACAGGTCAATTCCCCGGGCTCCATACATTAGCCTGCCCGTGACCCGCGCGGCGCGGCGCGTCGTCCATCTCTTGCTTTCTCTCGCTCCCTCGCTCTCGGACCGCTCTCTTTTTCGCTCACTCTCTCCTCGCCGCGTGAAGCACGGGCGGCGCCTTACTTTCCCCGTGAGGAACGGGGGCTCTGCGGAGGCGCCCCGCCCGCCCCCCAGTAAACCATAAGGCTGCCGACATTATCCCGAGCAGCGAAATCACTTATTATTTGGACGCTTTATCAATTTACCGCCCGTCCCCGACCACCTCCCCCGCGCCAGCTCCCTGCGCCATAACGACATAATGGGGGGTGGCCAGCGGTGCAGCAGCAGCAGCGGCGCTTCCCGCTAAGGGAAATTGATAGACTCTTCTCTCCCTTTCTCCAAGCAACGGGGGAGCGGGGCGCTTGCTGAGCTCTTACACTGGACGGGCGAGCACGCCCCGCCATAGCTACCCTCGCCCTCGTGCCCGCGTGTCCGTGCTCGGTTCGAATCCTACCCCCAGAGGCCCCAAGAGTGTTTTGTAACGCAATTGTATTTTCCCGTGCAGGGCAGCTAACACGGTTTTGGCCCGGCGGGCGAGTGGGCGGCGCTGGCCGAGCGGGGCCGAGCGGGGCAGGGGTTAATTCATGCATGGGCGGCGCGGGTGCGGCATCTCTTTATTGTGATCAACCAAACCTCCCCCCTCCCCCTCCTCTCCCTCCCCACGGGCCGCCCTGTCTGCGTAACTTCCCATCCCGTATTTACACCGCCGGATCAACAATCCCCCCCGCGCGCCGCGGGAGGCCTCTGTTGTGACCAAATCCGCGGGGAACAAACGAAAAGAGAATAAGCGCGACAAAAAGAAAATGGAAAAAAACTGGATATTGGCGCGACCCGCGCATTCCGTGACAATGAGGAAATATCGGCAAACGAGAAGGGAGGGACTGCGGGGGGGGGGGGCGCCTGGGCCCCACTGGTCACAGCTTTGGCACGCCCAGCAATAACATCTCCGCCCGTTCTGTTCCGCCTCGTTCCGTTCGGTTCCGTCCCTCGGCCTCCTGCGACAATGCTGACCCCCCCCCCCTTCTCCCCCTAGGTGTGGATGTGTGTGTGTGAGGGACGGGTGGCGCTCAGCTCAGCTGCCAGGGCGGCGGCCGGTCGCGGGGAGCCGCGTCGAGGACTTCAAATAGGGTCACCTTGCGAAAGCGGTCGCGGTGTCGGGCACCACCAACTGTCGGGGAGGAGTGAAGAGCAGCGGAGAGCGTGAGCAGTGAGCATTTTGTGGTGCTCTGCTCGCCACCCTCCTTTCACCCCCCCCACCACCACCACCACCGCAACGCCCCCGCAGCGCCCGTTCACCTGGCGGGGGCGTTTGCGTCCGCACCCGGCGAAAAATAGTAGAAATCACGGTTTTTCGCTCGAGGACCAAAAACTTTTCAACCGTCCGTCGCGCAATGCGAGACACGGATAGGGGCGGCAGCGTACAGTCGCGCGCGAGAGTGCCACTCACTCCATGCCAGGAAGTTCTCTGTCGCCAACTAAAATCGAAGTAAAGTTTGGGGGGGGGGACAATTAGCAGCGGGTACACATCTGCTGCTGCCGCGGCTGAGCCGGGGCGGGATCGGCCAGCCCCGCGCCCTGCCAAACTGAGGCCAGTCTTCCGCGAACGCGAGCAATAAGTGGATCGAGTTTCGGTGCTAGAGAGTGGAGGGCAGCCGGGCCGAGCCCCACGGGGGGAGCGCCGCGGCACCGCCGGCCGAGCCCGCGCTGCGCTGCGCCCCCAGCGGAGGCTGCGTGCGGGAGGAGGGGGGGGGCAGTCATGCTGCGTCTCCGTCGCACCTCCGCGCCGGGCATGAGGGGTGGGGGGAGGGGGTAGGCGTCGCGGACGCAGCCCAGCTAAATGCGAGGCGCTGCGAGTAGACGTTAGCAGCCTTACGTCACCGCGCCTAACCTCAAAATAGGAGGAGCTGCTCCGCCTCCGCTGGCCGAACTCGCTGCGCTTCGGCCGAGCTTCGGCTGAGCTTTTGCTGAACCGAGCCAGCGGCAGACACAAGGGAGCAGCCCTCTGGCGGAAGGGCGGACCGACGGACGTGACCGCAGACAGACGAGGCGAGGGGTGCGGAGGTTGCGCGGAATGGGGGTTGTAAGCCGTCTCTAAGGAACGCAAGTTCTTTCCCGAAATACGCCGAGAGCAGACACGAAGTCAACGTCTTTGAAGTGAAGTCGTCCGTGCAAGTCGCTCGTCTGGGCGCGGACTTACCTCTGCACCGATGCAAATCATATCCGATTTATGCACTCGTACCCCTATATCGGTCCACTTAACAGACTTCTTATCCCCGGCCGTGTTTGGCATGTCACGGCTGTCAACCACCGCCGCCACACCCATCACGTCACGCTTGTCAAACGCTGTCAAACTTTGCGGCTCGCCACTAGTGCCCCAACAGCTGGAGCGGAGGCAGGAGATAGAGCGAGACAGAGAGAGAGATGGGGGATGAGCTGCTTCACTCGCACCCCCAGCCAGTGGGCGCGCGGGGGCGCCGGCGGCCGTCCTTGTCCGGCGCAGAGGAGAAGTCCGGGAGCCGCCGGGAGGCGCTCAGCGGGCTGCCTCTGGCTCCGGCCCGATCGGCGCACATCGCTTGATCCACTTACGCACTTCACTGCACTGCTCGTCTCTCCCGCACAAACACACACACACACACTCTGAAGCACTCGGCACAGCGGGCTCTACCTGCGGATTCTTGACGGAGCCGACGCGGGTGCAAGCTCTCGACTCAGCGGGGACGGGCTTGGCGCTCCTCGGCCCCGGGCTCCTCGCCTCGCAGGGGGCGCGGCTCGCCGGGCCCCCGAGGGGCCGGGGAGGAGCCGGGGAGGGGCGGGGAGGGCTGCCCCCGCGGGTGAACGGGGGATCCGCCCACATGGACCTCCCCGAGCCCGACGACGCGGTGGCGGCTGCGGCAGCAGCCCCCGCAGGGGCCCAGGACGGGCGCCGCTGCAGCCGTGGCGGACCCGGGGTACGAGCGGCCCCTCCGACGGCGGTGCGTCTTCGGGAGGAGGGAGGCGGATCCAAAAATGGACCGCCACACGAGCAGAGGGGCTCCCCTTCCCGCCGACCCTCCCCTTTCCCCCCGCGAGTGCCGCCGGTGGGGAGGGCGTCGTCGTCGGGGTGCTGGCGGCCGCGCGGCCGTCGACGCCGCCGTCCTCGACGCGGGCCGCCGTCATCGAGGACCTCGTTGAGTAGGGCGTCCCGGGAGGGGAAGGTACCCCGCGAGTTCGCTCACCACGGGCGAAAAGGAGGGGGCGGGGAGTGACAGTGACCGACTGTCAAAACATCGTTACTACTGCACTCGTGGGTGGGGGCAAGGTGCAGCACAGCACGGGGGCAGGGGCAGGGGTCATATGAAGTAAATACTGTAAGGCGGGAGTGTGAATGTAAGGGGCGGGCCGCAGAGTCCTGTCCGCAGTTTCCTAACACAATCGTCAAAAAAACTCGTCG